ATCTCTTATGATACAAAACGGCATCTATTGTCGAGAAAGTCTGACTCTTACACTTCTTTTATAGTTTTCTGTTTTATGTATTGATAGTACCGCATACATAATCTTAGTATTTAGGAGTCTTATGCTTAAAAACAATAACGCATCTTATTGCTTTTATATCTCAATCAAAATAATTTCTAAATAACAGTTGACTTCTTTTTTTATGTTTCTAGTTTCAGTTTCGAGAATATCTTTCTTTCGTTTTTTTGACAATTTGTCTTACATCGTCTTTCTCTTCCATTTTTCGATATTAACATTAAAAAGTGAATGATCTAGCAGTATTAGATATGAATGAACTAACACAGAAAGAAAAAAATTAATGTAATATTATGAATAGTGTTGAGTTGAAATATTAACAAAATCAAAAAAAAGAAAAAAAACCTTGATGACAACAACAGTAAAAAGTGCTTTTTTTTCTGTTGATCTTTCTTATTTGTCTTAGTTGCATTTTCAGACGAAAACGTAACAGAACTACGAATTGATTGAATACAGAAAGAAAGATTCGTGTTGTAAATATCTCGAGCATCGTTTCAGCAAAATTCTGAATGATATTATATTCATTCTATGAGTTTTACTTATATAACCTCACGACAATATTGGTCATACTGAAAATCAGCATTGAAAACTAAAATATAAATTCTTTTTCACTTAAAATTTTAGTTCAAGTAATGGTTATCCTATCTCAATAGTTCATTGTATTATGAGTATCAATTCAAATTAAAATTAAAACTGTTCAGTAGTACATGACATAGCAAAAGTTCATAAATGCGTTATGGTAACTTTTAAATTATTACAATACCTTATCGATCAAAGTCTGCATGTCTTTTTTTAGAGCAAAGTATAGCACCAAAGCAGAATCGTTAATCTGCCATATTCTTGAATCTCATTTTCCATAAAATATAAAACATAGTCTTAGAGAATCTATCAACTTTGAACATTTCAAAATAATTCGGGTAAGTGTGATCGTATGTGTAGATCTTTTTTGTCTCTAGAAAAAATAAATAAATAAATAAACGACATTAGACGAGTAATTTCCATTTGACATGTTTGATCTATTTCTTAGGAAAAAGCTTCAAACATTCTTTTTTCATTAGAAATAAACGTAGTGTATTTGGGCCTACTGCGATGGAAATCGAGAAATTTCTTTTTCGTCAATGATTTTCGAAACAATCTTTACATGAAAAATGCTTATTGAAATACTTCATTTACTTTTAAGTTAATAATAAAAAATACTACAAGAAAAGTAACATAATGAATTATCTAATATTTTTCTATTTCCCTATTTTTATTCTACTATATTCACCAAATGTCTATCATCGAAGTAGGAAATAATTCAAGAATGAATTTTCATAGTATACAATTTGTAAATTTATTCTGAGTTGATTTATTCAATAGCAAGATGTTTACAATGTCTAGTTAATGAACTAAGATACCTACTCAATTGAAATCATTGTAACGACATGGAAGTATGAAATATTATATTGTTTTGTGATTATATTTGAAGTGAAAATTAATTAAACCCCCTCCATAATAGAAGCCCCCGGGAGCTTCTAAACTGCCCACCATCCAAAATTTTCGGAGGGGGCTTCTATTAAGTCCCAAATTTTTTCAATAGTTTTAGATGTAAAAAGAATTTCCAAGAATTTCAGGGATTTTTAAGGTTTTGTAGAGTTTTTCAAACGATTTCCAAGGAGATTTCGAGATTTTTACGCTAGTACATAAGGAAATTAAACAAATTCTTATCTTAAGATCTTGAATTTTGACGGTTTTGCGATGAAAATACTAATCAAATTTTTCAAAAAGTTTGTAAAATAAGGGGGGCTTCTAATACATCTTTCATGTCGGTCCTTCGGAGAGGGCTTCTAATCCATCTTTCATGTCGGTCCTTCGGAGGGGGCTTCTAATCCATCTTTCATGTCGGTCCTTCGGAGGGGGCTTCTAATAAGGGAGGGGCTTTTAATATGGGAGGGGCTTCTGTTATGGGAGGGGGTTTACTTTAAACATTATATTCTTCATCATACAAATCTACGTATCTTTCCTGCTTTCATTATGTCCATTGTAACCATAATAAAAATTGTCGAGCTGGCTATCTCTATGTTTTATTGTTCGTTCTTGTCAGTACGAGAGATAAGATTCAAGTAGCTACATAAATAAAAAGCAAACAAAAGTTGGAAAGAATAATCATAAAATAGATGATATACTTGGGTTTTTTCTCTTTCGTATCTTGTTGATAACGATAGTTTCAATTGAGTGTCAACAAAGAAAAAATCCAGTCGACATCAAACTTATAAATAGCAAAAAGTAGTACCTACCAAAATAACAATTTCGTCTCTATAATACAAAGCGATTAAAAATGAGTCGACGTCAAAGATTACACGTGGCTGAAGGTTATATAGTTATTTGGGTTGATGGAAACATTGATATGACAAATGAAGACTGCAAAAATACAATGGTACAATTGCGAGAAGTCGTAAATCAAGTGCAACAATGTACAACACCTGACCAATGTATTCAACTATTGAACGAAAATCAAGAGGAGATTTCATTTGTTATCTCTTCCGGTGCAATTGGACAACATCTAGTGCCAACAATTCATGATATGACAAAATTAAATGCCATATTTATATTTTGTGGCAACAAACAACGACATCAAGAATGGGCTCAAAATTATGCAAAAATCAAAGGTGTTCACACATCCATCAAACACATTTGCGAAAACTTGAAAATGGCTGTCAAACAATGCAATCAGGACAATATACCAGTGAGCATTGTTAATCTGACTGAAGGAGGTTCTAGCAAAAATCTTGATCAGCTAGAACCTACTTTTATGTATTCACAAATATTCAAGGAAATACTCCTTGAAATAGAGCATGATCAAAATGCCATTCAAGATTTAGTTACATATTGCCAACAAGAATACAAAGATAATAACAAGGAATTGAAAATTATTCATGAATTTCAACGTGCATATCAAGCATCCAATGCCATATGGTGGTATACAAGAGAATGCTTTACATACAAAATGTTAAATGGTGCACTACGGACACTCAACGGCGATATTATGATTCGTATGGGCTTTTTTTTATGTGATATACATCGACAAATTGAACATTTGTACAAAGAACAGGTCAGTCAATATCATGAGAAGGTCTTTACAGTCTTTCGAGGACAAAATCTTTCGAAAGAAGCTTTTGAAAAGCTCATAAATAATAATGGCGGGCTTATTTCTTTTAACAACTTCTTATCTACCAGCAAAAATCGTGATGTCTCAATTAAATTCGTCAACAACGCTTTGCGCTCAACCGACATGGTCGGTATTCTGTTTCAAATAATTATTGATCTTACAATTTCAACGGCTCCTTTCGCCTCCATCGAGGAAGTGAGTTATTACAAGGGCGAAAAGGAAATTCTCTTGTCCATGCACAGCGTTTTTCGAATTGGTGACATTCGAAAACTTGATAAGAAAAGTCCACTTTATGAAGTGGAACTTAAACTTACCTCAGATGATGATCAACAACTTCGTCAATTAACCGACAGCATCCGAGAAGAGATCGGCGGCATTGGATGGTATCGACTGGGTGAATTGCTGCTCAAAATTGGTCAATTTGACAAGGCCGAAGAATTGTACATGGCACTACTAAAACAAGCTTCTAACGACAGTGAGAAAGCATATATCTATCACCAGCTTGGATGGTTGAAAAACGGCCAAGGAGAATACAAAGAAGCAGTTTCATTTTATGAAATGTCTCTCAAAATTGAACGAAAAACTCTACCAGAAGATCATTCTTCATTGTCGGCTACCTACAATAACATTGCTCTCACATATAACAACATGGGTGACTACTCGAAAGCACTTGAATTTTACGAAAA